TTTTTTATTATTTCTCAGTATTCATATTTACAATATTAAATTATAAATAGTAATTCCATACTATATTTAATTGCTATAAAAAATATTATTCATAAATTATATTTTAAATCTAAGAAATACTAATCAAGATATAATTACTGAAATAAACGGATTTATCTCAAATTCCCAGAGATCAAATTTACACTAATTATGATAAAAAAAAGGACTGTACTTCAGAAGTATCAGCATCACTTTAGTATGTANTAAAAAAAAGGACTGTACTTCAGAAGTATCAGCATCACTTTAGTATGTAAATGAAAAATTCTATAATACCTAGCCTACAGTCTTATAAAATCTACATATTCAGATTCATTTTAATAAAACACATCATAGTAAAAATAATACCTTCTTAGCTTAGCATCGAAGATTCTCAAATACATGTTTTTATGAAATATCTTAGTCGTTTTAGGTTAATATTTTATCATTTTTTAATGATTAAATATTGTCGTTACGATGACAATGAGTGCATACCATCAGTATTAAATTAGTACTTGAACAAGATTTTAGTTAGCATCATTCTAGTATTGGCTAACGAACTTTCAATTGTAAGCATTGACTTAGTATTACGCCCTTAGTTAATTCTCTTATATCTCAAAAATTTCTGGTTGGGGAAAAGTAAAAGAGGTGAAAGAGAAAATTTTTTTATATCCATCTGCTCTCCAGAAACAAAATCCTGAGCAAGCCACGATAAGTACCAATATTAATTTGATAGTTAATCCAATAAGTGTTAATATGGTATTTGTTGATTAAAACTACAAAATTATCATTGTTTAATATTTTAATTGATACAGAACTTCCTACTAAAATTCGAAAATTCTGTTTGATATAAAATATAATGTACATGTATATTTAATATCAATTTTATTTATTAATATGTTTACTTTTAAATAATTAATCAGTTGAATAATTATTAGGCTCAGAGTAATTCAACTTCTGGAGTTAATGATGGTCCATTGTCACCGGACAATATTCAATTGCCCGATAAACTTCCTATTCAATATCAAGAATTAATGCGTAATTGGTTAGTTCGAAGAGGGTCATGTCCTGTCGAATTTGTGTGGACTGATCTCGGCAAGTTATTTTGGCCTAGATGGATTAAAAAAGGTCGATGTGGTCGTTCGGAAACAGTAAGCTGTAGTTGGCCACCAGGCATGTCTTGCATACCGTCATCCATTAAAGCTTTAAACCTTTTACGATGGCATTGTTGGTGAGTGTATGTACATGGTTTTTCTTTCAGCATTAAAATCATAGCAAATTTTTATTAATTATTATTGCTGCTAATTAAAAAAACATTTTTTAAAGTTATAACTAAGGAAAAATAATAAATACGTTTGATATAATTTCAAATTTAGGCTTAAAAATAGAAAAAGCAAAAAAAGGAAACATAGACAAGAAAGGTCAGTTGATATAGAAACGGCAACCAATAAAACAATGGTAAATACTAAACAGAAGAAAATTAAGATAAACAATCCCAGTAAAAAAAATTATGAAAAATTTCGATGTTTATGGATTAAAGTACCCTATCCAGTAACTGAAGATTGTACGTGTTCGTGTAGAAAAATAGGAGATTAAATTAATTATTATAACTGAATCATAAATTGTAATTAGTAATATATTTGTATACATTGTAATAATGAAAGTTTATTTAAATGACTTGTATCTTCATTTAGTCTATAAAATTTGGAAACCATGTACTTAGTTTTTAATAATTTTATTTTTATACCAGTGTACATTTTTACATACTACAATACTATTGAAACCAGTTTGCTGCTCGATTGAAGATTTTTTGTAGATTTTTGTTTTTGATCATCAATTCCAAGTGAAACTTAATTTAATATATCATAAAAAGAAGAATGTACACCGAGAACCGTAGCTAAAGCACATTTTAGGAAGGGTTAATTCCTCTAGATTCTTGGTATACGTATTCATTGTATATTTTAGATATTTATCAATAAACACACGATGATTTTATACATACTCATATTGTGATAAGACTTTAAACTCTAATACAGTGGTCGACCGAGATGAAGAAGCATTGAGGTGTTAAGTTCTAATAAATTATATATTGTTCTTAGGCTGTGGGCAGGGGCGTATTTTTATAGTTTCCGCCTATAGGCATTTAAAAATTTGCCGCTCTTCATTACGTTATGAATGAGAGGTCTTATACTTTTATATATTTTCGTCATAACACTACTAATTCTACCACAAAAAAAAAAAAGTAATTAAAAATATTTTTCAAGCAAATGTTTATTAATAAATCATAAAATAAATTGCTTGTAGCTATTAAAATATATATATATATATATCAAAAATACACCATAAACGATAACGATTATGATAATTGTTAGGAAGTCAATAACAACAACAAAAAAATAATCCTCTTTTTAAAAATTTGTTGGCCTTTAGTATTTGCCGCCCTTTAAAATATTCCGCTGTAGGCAGTTGCCTATATTGCCTGCATATAAATACGCCAATGATTTTGATTTGTAGTTCTTAGATTTAAAAGTATAACTTATAAATAATATTTTTTATAGCAATTAAATATAGTATGAAATTAATATTGTAATTTTTACGGAAAAAATTAAAAAAAATATAAAAATAGTATATTTTGTAACATTTATGACAAACATGTATAAAAATAGAAGGGCTTGATGCAATACTTTTTTTTTACTTATGAATAAATACATTGGTATACAAGGAACATTCTTCGGAATTAAAAATATACTTTTCTAAATCAACTTTTCGTACTGTTTCCAAATCTGAAATTAGACTTTTTCTATTACTTCTTAGTTTGGATACTATAACTAATTATTAAAAAATAAGTATTTACATATAAAAAAAAATAGTTAAAAACAAAAAAAATTGTTTTTAAATTATTACTGATTTTGATTTTGATTTTAATATGTTAAAAATAATCTGTGCAAAATATCATTTTTAACCTATTTTTTTGGTTCTTTAAAGTAGATATTTTGAAAGTTTATAACAAAAAAAAGTTGAATTTATTACCAAGTATTTCATTTTTGCATTTTTATTGTAATAGATCACTTAAATAGAAATCGTAGTAATCATTTCTAAGTAACTTTTGGTGTTCAAAAGGATACTACAATTGAAATATTCAAAACTTAAATAATCTTAATGATTTACTTTAACTAAAAAAAACCAATCAAAAAGTTGTTAAAAAAATCTACTCAACTGAGCGTATTATAAAATATGATAATAATTGTAAAAATTTAGGTGAAACTAAAAAGATGACTACAGTAATGGGATTCTTGATTTACATTGAAGTTATTGAATCTAAATGAGAAAAAAATCAAATGTGTTAAAAAAATTTTTCTAACTCAAAATCCTTTTGTAAGGTATTTTAAAATAAAATAAAATACAGAACCGATAATCATAACACAAAAATAGAATATTTTTGAATACGTTAGCCACCATGAAGATAAGTCGTGTTTAGCTTAGCATCAAATAGGTGGCGCGCTCTAGCCGCAATTTCGACACTTACTCGCAGTTCAACTCAAATAGTTGGACTGCACTAATCCTGCCTTCTTTTCCCTGCCAATGTAGTATTATGTTAAGTAAAAGTTTTGTAAAAAAGGTTGGTATATATATGTTTTTCGTGTGTGATTCAAAATGAGTACGTTTCTTTTCTTTTGTGTAATTTATGTTGATTATAAGAAAAGAACTGCTAACAAAGTACCTATTTTTTTTTAATTATTATATTGAGATGCGATATGTAAGTGCATTTTAATATATTGTATATAGGAATTACTTAATTATTGTATTTTGTATTGGTGTTATATAATTTTGTTTCAGGTGTTTGCAACTGGCCAGTGCGCACTACCTTTCATCTGTGTTTCAGTGAGTTATTTATCATTTATATTGTTAGTTATTATTATTATCTAGTTAAAAATATATTTAGATAGTGAAAAATATTTCTAGTCAGAGTGAGCGTTAAATCGGCACTTTAAATATTGTGTTATTGTGTTGTTCACTGTTGGCCTTAAATAGGCAACATTTTCTTCTTGCATAGTTACTTACTAGTTACTTATAACTCACAGTTACCTTTTCAACAAAGTTCTTATGTACAATATTTTATTAGTCAATAGTATTTTTTATTGTTAGCCTTAATTTTATTAGTCAATTGGTATTTGTTTGAATTATTCGTCTGTGTGTTTTTATTATAACTGAAAGAATTTCATAGTAAAAAAAAGTATAAGTAATTTTTGTTATTATCTGTGGAGATTTTTATTATTGTTGATTTTTTAGATATTTTATTGTTGATTATTGTAGATTGAAAGAAGTACGTTTTATATACAATAATTGTATATAAAACGTACTTCTTTTTATTATATAATAATTATTATTGTTAAGCTGAATTATTTAAATATTTATTGTTGAGCTAAACTGGCGAGATTAATTATTTATTGAAAACGTACATTTTTATACATATTTATTTTGATATTATACATTTAATATTGATTGTGCCAAAGTGGCAGTTATATTGTGTATTATTTTAGTGTACCAATGTGGTAATTTTTCGATATATTTAATACAGTTAATTATTTGTTTTATTATCTCTTAGTTTTAGTTAAACATCCATTGTTACCTGGCCATTTCACAATATCTTATCATAAATAATAATCCAAGTGCATAAAAATTATTTTCAAAATAGTAAACATTATTTTGGATTTACCATAAATGATTTTGTTTAATGAAAATCTTACACTTATAGTGAAATCTAAGACTGACTAGCGCACAGTTCAGANAACACTTATGATATTGTATTCACCCACCATCAGTATTTTTTTATATACTTACGTGTAAACAATTATCACAGAAAATAATTAGACAAAATCACTTTTTTTTTGTTAAAATTAAATAAATTAAAAATGTATTTTGCAATACGACAATGAGTTGTTTATATGTAGGGTAACACGTGGTAAGATGGCGAATGGGGAAAGATGACGAATTCAGAGTTTCACAAAAACTATCCCAGATAGCAGCATATCATATCTAACATAAATACCTCATATGGTTCTTATGATTACTCGCTAGTATAAACACACGTGCACGTACGTTAGTTTGAGTTATTATAGGAATTGCGAATTTAACTTATGTTACTATAACTTTAAAGCTCTAAAACGCAAGGTATAATTATTCTAAGGTAAGTTTTTTAACTTTTTCCCTTGAATATTCGGAATGTTCTACTTAATACCTATAAACTCATAAAAAAACAAATTCTATTACAATACTTTTTGTTATTTGCAGAATAAATAATTTAGGGAGACTAGGCATCAATATATTTAATTACCAAACTTACATATAACCATATATTATTATTAGGATATACACTTTCGCACTGTAATTACCATTTTATCTCTAGTGCTTTATAAATACTACTTGATTATTTTCTTAATTAAAATTAATAACACACTATTTATACCCTTATACGAATAAAATGTAATTGCGCTGTAAAAATTCTCATGCATCAATATGATATTTTTAATACTAATATTATTTTAAATTTTATTTATAGGATATTGTTAATTTTACTTGCAATTAGTATAATTTTTACATTAAGTATCTAAAATTTGTCCTTAAATATATTATTTTGATCACTATTTAACAATATTCCTTCACATTGTATGCGTTCAATATATCTAATATATGTATGTGAAAATATAGAAATTATTTAAGAGTGTAGCCTTATAAAACGTTATAGCCTGAAACAGGATGGTAAAACTTGAACAGTATAAACAACGTCATGTATTGACTCTATACTGAAATAAGGGGCCTTTCAGAGTCTTTGAGCTAGTATCAACTAAAAAAACGGTAACACATTGTGGACATGGCATAGATGAGACAAGTATAAATGATATCTGACAGTGATTGAAATCACTATCATAAAAAATGCTTCGATGCAAATTTGTAGATAGTGGTTAATTCTAAGAATTTGCGAATGATTAAAAAACAAAATCAACTCCTATTTTCTTAATTATATCCTTAATAGTTCTTTAAATAAAAATAAAATATATGAATAAATACTAATTATAGTAATTAAATTTAGTATGAAATTGATTTTCAATAATTTAATATTGTAATTTATAAGGATAA